ACTGAAAACTGGGGTGGGTTTGATTAGGGATAGCAATTGGTCCCTGTGGTCGGTCCCCTGTCAATGTTGAGTATGACAATCCCTGGAGGAATTTTTTACTGTGAGAAAAAATGTCCCTTGTCTCCATTTCTATTCCCTGTGAGGAATGAGGCTACCTGCAAGTATTCACCATTCCCACCAAACTTTGATAAAAATAATAAATTTTTTTACCAATCACTTGAACAAGCAATTATTTCAAAAAAGATTGCATGATTGAAAAATTCACACTATGTTAAAATTTAAAATTTAAATATAAAATAATTTTAGAATAAAAACCTAACTAACTAATAAAAGAAATAAATAATAAAATCTATGTAAATGAGATTTAGACTTAAAAATTTATAATGAATTAAGTTGAATTGGATTAGATTTATTGTAATTTGAGAAAAAGGAAACCAAGAATAATAACTGCATAATACATTTTATAAAATTAAAATTTACATTATATTTCACATATTTAATGATTATAATTGAATAATTTGGCATTAAAAATATTAAAGTTTACATTATACCTCATTTGCTAAATGGTTATAATTTGATGGATGGTGTTATAGGAATAACTTTTTTATATCACATTTTAATGCAATTACGCATTCAATATCATAGGTTTCACATGAATTAAAAAAATCAATCATTTAAATAATACGTCAAATTGTACAAAAAAATAAGATAAAAAGATTGTACAAAAATTATTTCTCTAATTAGATATTTTGACATTAAAAATATCATGATGTTTTGATTTTTATTTTTTCTTATAATTTTATATTTATTTTTTAATTTTTATTTTTTACCATTCACTGGAAATGGGATTCTTGCGGGGCCACATGGAAATAGAAAAAGTTCCTGCAAAATATATTGCCATTGTCCCCGCCCCAGGGGAAAGAAGTTTCCCCAAATTCCGGTGACAAAAATTCCCGTGAGCTCCTCCACGGGTTGCAGGGTCACAGGATGAATTGCCATCCCAAAAGTTTGGTTGATTTGTAAAACTTTGGGAGAAATTCCGGAAACGAGTGCTGTATGCCCCCCGCCGAAAGAAAAAGAGAAAAAAAGAGGCAAACGAGTGCTGACTTAATGCCTGCGGTTTGTCTTTATGTACGAAGATTTTGGGTATGAACTTTAAAAACAAGTGGGAAAAGGTTTTGAAAAGAGGAGGTTATTTTTTAATTGTATAGTTTGTCATTAATTTATATTTGTTATTTTAAAATAATTTTTGTTTTTTAATTTTGAATTTTGTAAATTAATTAATTATTATTATCTTAAAATAGATACATATTTTTTATCTTTAATATTATTATTATCTATTTATTTTAATGAATTATTCTATCACAAAAAAATTTATTTTATTTTTAAATTTTTTTTTAAAATTAAATAGATAAATATATAAATTATTTTTAAAATTTTAATTTAAAAAAATCAAAAAATGATAGCTATTTTAAAATAAAAGAATATAAAAAATTTTAATATAATAATTTAATAATTAAAATTTTAAAGTTTGAGTAAGAATTTGAAATTATAAGGAGGTTAATTTTTTTTTATATAACTTATAATTAAATATACTTAAAAAAAAAGTACATGAGAAACTCATCTTGTAATTTATTAATTCTCAAATCCATGCTTAATGTGCTCTATGTCTAACTAACAATGAATTGACTAAATTAAACAAAATCAGATACTTACGATTAATTTAAGGCATGATTTTCATGATTGGGACGTTCCGGTCATATTCTAGATCCACACAGGTTGGAACTAAGAACAGGTGTTATTGAACTGAGAAATGGAACCAAGAAAATACAAGTTAAAATTGGAGACGTCAATTGTCAGCGGAAGCGTGCTGAAATCGTAAGCGTGTACCTTGCGCTTCGGGGAACCCAACTGGTTTTGAACCCTCCACCACAATTGCCAACTGTTCTATGCTAATGTCGTCTTTTAAGTTTTATCTATAAATATTAGTTTTTTTTTTTTTTTTCCAATCGCGACTAACTAATATTATTCTCTAAAAAATTAGTTTGTTAAAATAAATTTTTATTTATCATTTTTTAAATTACAGAGTTAAATGCAAAACAAGAAGCTTAAAACTTAAAAGAGTTTTTTTTTTTTTTAATTTTAAAAAGTTAAGAGTTGAAATATTATATATAAATATTTTGTTTTAAATTAAAATCATTTCCATTTACTAATTCATCTTTTCAAAATTTTCCATTCTCTACGCACACAATTTTGGTAGAAAAAATTTAAAATTTAGTCCTCTTACTTTGGCAGAGCAAAAAATTAAATTCCCCCAACAAATTTTTGTTCAAATTTGTGCCCCCATTAGAGTCCAAGTTTATGATCCCTTCCTGGAGCATTTAAGAAATTACTATTGAAGCTGCACTGTCAACTCCCATAGAAAGCATCATCTTGCGCTAACTTCAAAGGAGTTGAAATTAGAGGACTCAGTTCGAATCATTATATGTCCTCCTTTACAAGCTAGGCTAAAATTTCAAAATTGATCAATATTAGTTAGGGAGAAAAGTATTCCATGTTATGGAGCTACCAAGTCTATGTGACAAATTAGTGGTAATTTTATGTTATCATGATAGGTCTTTGTCGATAGTAATGTGGTTTGCATGAGTATTATTTACCTATATGTTAAAATTTTATTAATTTGCTATATTATACATAAATAATATAATAGTGATGTTGACGCACTAGAACTTTTCCTATTTAGGCTCCAATGGGAGTAATAGAACAAACCCTCCATTGGATAGTTGGGGCACTCTCCAACACTTAAAAGAGAAAAACATTTTCAATATATATATTGAATTCTATTTTGAAAATATTTTAAATTAATTTGAGTAAAAATTCAATTAATTAATGTTTTGATTAATACATGATAGAAGGTTATAAACACATCATTTTTTTTTGCTATCTAAAGGTTAAGATCAAGCTTGAATCTCACTGTCATAAGTTTTGAATTTGAATCATGATATAGGATAGGGAGCTAGATTAGGAAAACGAAAAGAATTATTATTTATGGTATAATTTACTATCAAATGTACATTTAAAAAATTATACTTTCAACATCATAATTTCAAATTTACCAATAAGAACTTACCCAAGTTGGTGTCAACCAGCCAGAAAACATTGATTTCACTTATTTTCCTATTCCAAACCTTTAGGGTCTTTTGTAAAAGAAAACCTTTAGGGGCTTCATTAAACAACAAAAACTGTTTAAGGGATTAATTATTCATTTCCTATAAATTGAAGGACTAAACTTAGGTTTCTCCCACTGTTTCAATTTTTCTTACAAACCATCAAAACTAGAAGTTAAATTCCTTGAGCCCAACCAAAGTCCAAATTCCAAACCCCTTCCCATAATTTTAAAGTGGTAATTGATAGCAAAAATATTGTCTTCACATCCATCCATACGATGAGTATCGATTCCCCTTCTCCCAAGTCCCAAGTCAACTTCTCTTCCTAACTTTTACTTTCTTAAAAAAATGAAATAAAAGAGAGAAAATCTC